AGACATAAATTTGAGACCAATGTGAGGACAATTCGGGAGACAGACCCACTAAGAAGCTAAGCATGCAGCTTAGCATAGAACACCTTGCTAACATACTCCAGGCCCCGGGTTCCAGCTATGGCACTGGAAACAAAAGGAGTTCTAAGTATGTAGGTATGAGCAAGTGCTAGCTCAACAGAAGAAAGTCATAATGAAGTTGGAAGAGAGAGGATACTGCTGAATGATATGGAGGAGGTAGAGTTGATCAGGCATGCTGGAGAACTACTCAGACTGAGAGAAGGAGAAAGATCACAACCGGTGCAAGGTGTTGGTGGCACACACCTTTTAAAGTATTCACAGAGATCCACCTGCCTCTGCTTCATGAATCTCTGTGAGTGCGAGGCCAGCCTGGTCTGCAGAGGGAGTTCCAGGACAGACAGAGAATCCTTGTCTCAAAAACATACAAACGAACAACAACAACAAAAAAAGAAACACAACCTGCTTTTAAATTAGGCAAGTTGGTGATTGGTGATGGCCTTAACTGAGTTACAGAAAAGAGAAAGAGCAGGAAGCTTGATGTAAATATAGACTTTACATTAGAAGTTTGAATTCCAGATACCCAGAGTACAATTGGAAATTTCCTATAGGTATTAGATGTACAAGAATCTTATTCCATAAAATCTATGGCATTATTTTTAATTGCTAATATTACAGTAATACTCTTTGTAATTTAAATTTTAATTATTTCAACATATTACATCATAGGCAAATCAATAGCTAGCAGACAGTTATTTTTTATAGGATGCTTCATAACTGGTACAGCTAAAAGTGTTGGATAGGCATCCATTAAGCAGGCAGCTCACAGGCCTGAATAGAAACCCAAACTACTTATTACTGCACTCTCTTTACACTCACGAAAATCTTTTAAGAGCAGGAAATAGCACTTCATTTTCAAAGTGTCATTTTCACTGCGATTGCAATTGATATATTGCTAAAGTACCAAGACAATTTGTGACTTAAGAGGAAAAAAGCAACTCAGAAGTTCACTCGATCACAGTTCATGAGCAGTTGTCGTGCAGCTTTTGCTCCTAAAACTCTCCCCTTTGCTATCCAAATGCTATGATATAAGAGAGAATTTCCCCTGTGACATTGTCACTATAGTATTACCAGAATCAAATAAAATTCCAAATTGTTAATGAACTGAGTGTATTTGAATTTGTATGTGGGTCTTTTAAAAAAGAAACATCCCCAACCAAATATTGCATATTTATTAACTGAGCTAAACAAATTAACTGCTTTCCACCGAATCCTACAGTACATATTTGTTACAATCTATGAAAACAGAAATGAGTAGAACCAGGCATAATTGTTCCTTCATCCGTCACTCACTAATGCTTCCAATCTGTTAGTTTTGTTTGCCTTTTTTTTTTTTGTCCAGAGCCATCTCATGGTTCATATTTCCTTCAGACTTCTGTTGAAACAATTGTTAACTGTGAGCTTCCACTCACTGCTATTTGTCCAACCTTAGTGATAGCACCTAATGAACAGGAGGAAAGGAACAAACATTATATTATCTTGCTGACATTGCAAAACAAAGAATTGCAATTTGATCAAATGCAAATTGTAGTTCAGTAGGACATCTCTGTCTCAGATTTCTACCTTTCAATTAGATGACTTGTTTCTCCTCTAAATTTCCCCTGTAGCAGGACGTATCTGATTTGATTTCCACAAACTTTTTAAAAGCTACCACGATAGGAATATTTTGGTATGCTAACCATTTGTATTCACATTGGCATCAGAGATGGCAGATTTTCTCCCTGATGAAGAATATGTCAAACAATTGTGTATTTGTAAGCTACAGTGCTCTAAGTTTTTTCCTTTCCATTTTCTGTGAGAGCCTAAATCCAAATGTGAGCAGTGCCCAGTATACGAGCATTGTATACTTAACAATGCAGCAACGATTAGAGAAAGAGTAGAGAAGATGATTGTATGGTTGATGATCTATGCCTGTTACTGAGGGATCAAGGATCACTGGTTGAGATTGCTTTTCATTTCAAAACAACCAACCCCCTTTCTTTTAACTTTCTTATGTCTTCTTGTTGAAGCTCAGTATTTCCATGAAAATGAGTGGTGTAAGATACCCGATTTGCTGTTTCAACTGAAGCTAATAATATTTCTGGGTACCCTTCTATACAGAGCCTGCCAACTTCCACATCAAAACCGATGTCCCTTTCATGCTTAGATGAATTGGTTCCTGACATGTCTCTGGATTCCAGAGATGTAGCTTTGATTATTGCCGTGGATTTGAGAGCAGCTTATGTCTAGGGTGGCCCAGAATGTCGCATCTGGAGTCAAATACGTATGGGTTATTAGAACAGGTTCCTGAACACAATGTAAAAGCAAAAGGAAATGGAAGACGGTAATAGAGAATTTAGACAGAACATAATTATGAGGTTCAATGCAGAAAGCTAAAATATACCTTCAGGCAAAACAAATTATGTCCACTTTGAGGTAGTTTCTTATTCCTCCATGCATGTGGGTTGAGGGAAGGGGACTGACCTTTTCATTTTCCTCCTGGCTTTAGTTTTTATAGCTGGGGACTTTTGAACCCCTGCAGTACCTGAGGTACTGCTTACTCATCTTGCTTCTGTTACCTTAGCAACCTGTAGGGTACAGCAGTAATTCTGGTCTAATCAGTAATAAGCTATTTGTACAGCGACAAGTGTAGAAATTCAGAGGAGGCTGTTTGCTAAGGATAACTAGATGAATCTAGAAAAGCTAGAAGCTGGGAAGCCAATCCTGAACAGATTCACTAATTTCCTTAATATTCCTAAATTCCTTAATAAACCAGCCTCCCTAAATTTGAATCTCAGCTTTGCTAATTCCTAACTATGGTAAGTAAAGCAATTTCATTTTGTTTGTTTGTTTGGTTGGTTTTGCAATGGAGTCTTGCTGTGTGATACTGGCTAGACTATAGGTGCAGCAATCCTCCATTATCAGTTACCAGCATGCTGCGATTAGAGGTGAGCACCTCCATGCTCTGCTTGAAGCAAGCTATTGATCTCTCTCAAGTTTTGGTTCCTCATTTGTAAAGGGCGGCTGTCAGAAGTACCTATATAACCAGGCTGTTCTGGACTGACAGGCTTCATACTGATATAGCACATACTCTTAGACATACATACTCCCCTGGAATTGAATAATATATTTCACTGCCACTTTGCTGAATGTTAAGGATGGGGGTGGCGGTTATACAGGATATAACTGTACGCAGAAGGGATACATTTAAGTTCTGGTTACGAGTATTTAGCTAGGAGATGTCATCACTTTTTGGCTCTGGAGTATTGGAAGAAGGACCACAAAGAAAGTGCAATGGGCATGTAGTAGAGATAAAGAAGTAAGACCACTGTTTGTCCCAAAATCTGCATGTTATGAGAGCAACTAGTCACATGTGGCTACCTAAATTTAGGTTGACTGAAATTAAATAAATCTGACCTGAAAGATGACTTAGGGGATAGAGATACTTGCTGTCAAGCCTGATGACCTGAGTTTCAATCCCTGAGAGCCACATGGTAGAAAGAGATAGCTGACCATTAAGTTGGCTTTTGACAGCCCCCACATGAACACTCCTGCTTCTCTACTGAATAAACAAATGCAATAAAATTCATTTCCTTAGTTTTACTGAATCCATGTCAAGTGCTCTATTATCACACACAGCAAATGGCTGCCACATTGGACGGCCTAGACCTAAAAAGCTTTTTTTTTTTTTTAACACTGACTACTCAGAGATTTTAACAGCAGGTCTATTTCAAGCAAGTCTGAGTTATTGGGACTAGAATAGTAAGAGGTTTACAAGTTTAGAAGCCCCTTTCATTAGGCTGCACACTCTTCTATTAGATCTGAAGTTCTAAACATCTATCAGGCACCCAAGCCAAAACTCAGGGGAAAACTGAAGCTGATGCTCAGGCCAGGGTGAGCATACAGTGATGGTGCTTATAAGGATCATTATCTCGAGTTAACCAGAGGTGTTCCTGGGAGGCTCCCAGGGTGGGTATTTGACCAGTAAACACATAATTCTTTTGCTGATAGAAAGAGAAGCAGATGTGTCACTCAGCATTGCTTCTATATTTGCCTACGGCTTGATTACTACAATGGAAACAGCTGCAATTCCAATAAAATGGAATCAAATATTATGTCAAAAACATGTGCTATGTCCTTACTTTGCTTTGCATGATAAGTTCTTTTTTACTTGCCAATTAATTTCTTGATTACTGTCTGTAGAGACCATGCTTACCAGTCCTCTTTGTACTAGGTTGCTCAATACTAGAAATGGAACCCTGGGCCTCATGCATGCTAGTCAAATGCTCCACACCAAGTTACACCCTTAATGGATTTTTGTATGGACTTGGATACTTTTTCTATAGCAATTATGTTGTTAACTTTGTAAAACTGAGAGCCAAAGAGACCCTCCAGGATCAGACACTTGACTGATCTCATTCTGCTACTGAAGTCATGGTTTTAGTGGTCAGTCTTGGAAAACCCAGATGAATAGCCCTTGACTCTCTGAATGGTGTCTTACCTTCATAAGATCAATTTCTGTCTAGAACTTGCCACAATAAGTACAAAGTTTAGTAGTTCGGCCATGTTCTACCACTGTGTCTGGAATTCTACCCAGATTTATTACATTCATTGAACTACAGAATAGCTTACTCTGGAGAATATGTATTGCAGACCAGCTATACATACAGGATTTCACATAAATTCCCACAGTAATTACCTTAAAAGTTTTTTTTTAAGTTTTTAAAGGTAATTATCCATAGTGTGCAAGATGAGGAGACTAAGGATTGGCAACAGGAAGATAATATAAGTAACTTGTTTAGTCGCCCAACAGGGTGGCTGTGGATTGCGTTGGGTGGGCTACTCAGTCTAGGGGTTAGTAACCCACCCGCAATCAAGTTATTCCAGGGTCTCGGAGGGGCGCTACCTGGAAGGGAGTGAGCTAAGACAGAAGAGCGAGGCCAAGCAACTTTGTCAAGGCCTCAGTTTATTAGGGACGGGTTACAGTTTATATATGGTAAGGGATGAGGGGCAGGGTACGGGATCTCGCAGGCCGCGTGGTTCCGGTCACGTAGCTCGGTTACATTCAGACAGACAGGCCAGAAGTCACAAGTGGCCACACCTGGTTCCCTGGATAGCTGGAATGTGAGGCGGGTTCCGCTAAGATTAGCAGTTAATTGGGTGAGGGGCAGGTTTTGTCAATAGAACATAACTATGGGTGTGAGGTTCTCTGCAGACTCCCTAGAGTGATGGTTTCTGTAATGATTGTTAGGGGGGAAATGGCTCCTGACATATTCCCCCTCTCTTATATAAAGGCAAACAGTTATTAAGTGGAGGGCACTAAGTCAGAGTCAACCCTGGTGTCAGATTTAAAAGAGAAGGGACTGGGACAAGTAGAAACCCTCCTCTCGAATGGTGAAGCAATTTACCTCTCATGGGAACAGAGGGGTGCCTTATGATTAGCATTAGTTCCTTGGAGCTTCTCAAATAAAAGGTATCTAGCAAGAGTTAAAGTAAGCAGACCACAGGGCATCCTGTCTTAGGCTGTGTGGAGAGCTTTCCTCGTACCTGGCACCATGCCATGTTGAGCCGGCCTTTACAGCCTCTGTATGGTGTGCTATTCAGGTGAGGATCCACACTAACTCCCGTCATTGGGCGCCTGAGTCTATCATTAATGAAAAACTGTGAGGAGCTCCTCAAACAAAAGATATAATGATATAATTTTGGGCACCAATAACTCCATCTTCCAGACAAGAAGAAAGGGCTTTTTCCAAACCCAGTATTCACCTTTTAGTCTGGCCTAAGGTATCCTCCTTCCTAAATGCCTACTCCACATTAAAATTATGAGTGCTGTTTGCCAAAAATTAGTGCAGTGTAAAGGGATCTATATCTAAAATTTTTAACATATGCACTAAACCCAAACATTTCACAGCATGTGTCAAACCTTTTCCAGCCTCTATAAGCAGTTACAAATATCATTAGATCAATTTCAGTAAGAGTACAATGACATACATTGTTGTTAACAAATACCACCAGTTCCAGTCTCTGAGCAACAGTGACAGGAACCCCAATCTTCCCCCTTCTTAAGTGAAGAGGCATTAATATTTTAATTAAAATGAGTTTTGTGTCCCAAAGATTAAAACAGTCTGATGTTTGGTCTGTATCTTAGCTTCAAAGCAAACCAGAGTTCAAACTGTAGAAGCAGTTTAGCATTTGTACTTCAGGGCAGGTGGAATTCCTGGGTGAGGTGAGCTGGATTCAGCTATCTGAAGCACATCCTCGCACTTATCTCAGGCTGGACTCTGGAGACAGGATGACACCCTGCAGAGTGGCGTAGCAGGTTCTGTTATCAGGCACTCTTCTCCTTGGGGGCAGGGAAGGCCGGACCAAGGACCTTTCTGCAATCATCTCTGGAACTCCTCTGTGGGATGTCTGCAGCCACGACTCAAGTCCAGATTTTTTCTTTCTGTGAAAAAACATAAACACATCCTCGACCCCAAATATATATAGGTCGGGTTTTTTCATAATGCATTGCAAGGGCTTTTCCACCTTGCCTTAGCAAAGGTCTGCTTGGTGTTATCATGCCAGATCCGTTTGCATCAGGATCTGCTTGCAACTCTCATAAGCTGCTTTGAAGGAGCCTTGTTATACTCCACAATTTTTTTTATTAACCATATATGCAGTTCCTCCATTGGAAGAGCCATTTGTAAAATTTTAGCATAAAATCCTTTAAGGGATTTTTTGCCATAACATTAGCAAAATACAGGCAATGATCTGGGAAAAGATAATCGTTTTTGGCCTTGAATTGAGCAAAGGCAATTGTCCAGGAATCAATCTTAAAATTATCAATGAATCTATTATTTAGTATAAGAAACTTTGATCATAGTCAATATTCTATTAAACCATTTTCCAGATGTTATCCTGTCCTTTTGTACCAGACAGGCTACTGTTTTAAATTAAGAGTTTAATATTTTAACTAGCAAAACTGAGAAGGTTTAGCCATAAACAGCATTTTTTATAAAACTGTTGTAGAATAAGTTTTACATTTAATATACATATTTGCCATAGCTGAATTATAATTAATATACTGTATTTGTTGATTATTGTATACTTTACCTGTTTGAGTACCTGCTAGGCAACTTGTTTTAAGCTCTCTATTGGAAACTGTTTTTTGTAAGAATTTTACCTAGCAGCTCAATATCTCTCATAAGAACATTATAAGTAGGGCTTTAACCATTGGACATCCAAAAGTTTGTAAGCTATCCTCCTCTTAAGCTGCAAGTCTGCCTTGCAAATAGGAAAATGGAAAAATGAAGTTTTTTTTAACTAGTAATGCTGGTCTCATTAGACACCAACATGTAGAAGAATGAAAATAGATCTATATCCATCTTCATGAACAAAATTTAAGCCCAAATGAGCCAAAGGCTTTAGCATATAAAAATTTATGTTGAACCTCACAGAGAAAAATTTTTGAAGTACACCTTGCCACATTGTAAACATAGCCTCAGTGGCACAAACATTGTGAGAAACCATAAATTATATCTCCTGAGTTGAGAACCTTTTGTATAACAAGGCTATAGAGTGCAGAAAGATCTTTACTTATCATAAACTCATTCCAAAAATATATGAAGAACTCAGGAAATTAGTTATTAAAAATTTAATCCAATAAAAATATTTGTTATAGACCTAAACTGATAAACTCTCAACAAACGAACTCAAAAATGACTGAGAGACACCTAAAAAATGTTTGAATATAACATCCTTTAGCCGTCAGAGAAAGGCAAATCAAAACTCTGAGATTTACCTTATCCTTGTAAAAATGACCAAGATTAAAAATTATTGTTAACAATCTATGCTTAAGAAAACGTGGGTAGGAAAAAAACTCGCTGGAAGTGAGCTGCAGCCCGTGGCGGCAGCTGCGGCGCTGGGAGCAGTGTTGGAAGTACATACTGCACAGCCATCCCTGAATCACATACAGCACTGAAAAACCTGGAGAAATCCAGACTCTCCCAGCAGGAAGAGAAAAATCAAAAATCCAGGACTAGCCTGTGAGGGCACCAGACCTCATTCCAGATGGTTGTGAGCCACCACGTTGCCGGGAATTGAACTCAGGACCTTTGGAAGAGCAGGCAATGCTCTTAACCACTGAGCCATCTCTCCAGCCCCCCCAGCAGGAAGAGGAGAATCAAAAATCCAGGGCTAGCCTGTTCAGCAACCCTGCACCAGGAACTGACTGAAGACTGCAATCCTGATAGCAATCCCCGAGAAACTGCAATCCTGAAAAACTAGTTTTCCAGCTGCAATTATCACAGTACTGTTTTAGGAACTAGCTGATTATGACCCTGGGAGTGGTCCCGAGAGGCAGGGAGCCTCCGTAGGTTTTTGAAATTTTTATGACCTTTCTGGACCACCGGGCTGTGGTCTTCTCAAAAATTCTTTTTTCCGGTCACTGGGGGTCGAACTCCTCCCCCACCAACCAAGGCCACGTGTAAGCGACCTCAGCAAGGACGGTCTTTGGTGAGCCATGGGGGGGCCGCGCCCTTCCAAGACCTGAGTGAGAGTCTCCCCAGCAGTGAGGGACCTCCATTATGTAAAATTAGGCAGATATCTACCTCAAAACTTAGCAGTACCCCTTTTGGGCCTAAATACAAAGTTGTTTAACCATACCACAAGGACACGTGCTCTGCCATGCCCAGAGCAGAACTTTATCATAGCCAGAATCTAAAAATAACCCAAAGGTATCTCTTTTACACCTAGGATAAATGAGACATCATCCTTTTAAAATATCCATGAATACCACAAAACATCCCGGAGCAACTCCAAGCAAGCAGGACAGAAGTTTTTTGTCCCGTCATCTCTGCCTGTGAAGGCCGAAATGTTTTTTACTTTTAACCATTATCACTTGCTAAGAGTATAACTCTGGCCCTTGATAAATTTAGTGAGAGGCCTGAAGCAACACCTGGCAGCAGGAAAGAACCTCAAGCTGAAACATTACGACTCCCACCCAAGAGCGGGCCGTACAAATGAAAAACTTGTCGGATAAGAATTTTAAATCTTGAAAGATCCCCTACTTTCTTGCGAAAGCAGAAGAAACACAGCAAAAATGACAATTTCACTGAAAGCAGTTTACGGATTCAGTGTAAATGTCCATTAAAAATTATAGCAACATTTCTCACAGAACTCACATACAGATTTTATGTAAATGTTCATTAAAATTATAGCAAAACTTTTCACAGAACTCAAAAGAACAATACAGAACTCAAAAGAACAATCCCCAACCTTATAATAAAGAAATAAAAACTCAGATAGCCTAAACAATTCTAAAAATCCTCTGAATGCATCACAATCTTTGACCTTAAAACTTTTTCTACAGAAACACAGTACTGAACTTAATCTACCTTAGATATAAACTTTTACACCTACAAACTAAAGATTTTTGACCAAGAAGCAAGATTTTTGAAATGGAAAAGAAGCATATTTACATGCAGCTGCAGCTTTTTGAGTCTAGACTCCTTTATAGCAAACCTGCCTGTCAGCTTTTGCTCCATGTGGCAGGGAGTTAAAGACATATACATAAAGCAAACACATAGATCTCTGTTTTTGACTCTTACTCCTCTGTCCCTGAGTGAATGTTTAAATTCCTGTATGAATTTTTCTTCCTTTGAAAGTGATTGTCTCACCCCTTGTGGGACGACGTGAACCTGCGCCTACCTCCCGTTCTGCCATCTGTCCGAGTACTACAGCCGCAGAACCTTCATTTTTCTTCTTGTTGTTGTCCCGGGACTGCGCGTGTCGTCCGATAGCTGACCGTACTCCGAGTCACTGGTTCGGGCGCCACTGTGGATTGCGTTGGGTGGGCTACTCAGTCTAGGGGTTAGTAACCCACCCGCAATCAAGTTATTCCAGGGTCTCGGAGGGGCGCTACCTGGAAGGGAGTGAGCTAAGACAGAAGAGCGAGGCCAAGCAACTTTGTCAAGGCCTCAGTTTATTAGGGACGGGTTACAGTTTATATATGGTAAGGGATGAGGGGCAGGGTACAGGATCTCGCAGGCCGCGTGGTTCCGGTCACGTAGCTCGGTTACATTCAGACAGACAGATAGGGCCAGGAGTCACAAGTGGCCACACCTGGTTCCCTGGATAGCTGGAATGTGAGGCGGGTTCCGCTAAGATTAGCAGTTAATTGGGTGAGGGGCAGGTTTTGTCAATAGAACATAACTATGGGTGTGAGGTTCTCTGCAGACTCCCTAGAGTGATGGTCTCTGTAATGATTGTTAGGGGGGAAATGGCTCCTGACAGGTGGCCAGTTTGAGACCTGAACCTTCTAACTCCACAGTCAGCTCCTTGAATATCAATTGACATCTATCTCTTAGCCCCTTCTTGGTCAGTGTTCTATTGCTATGAAGAGACACTATGACAAAGGCAACTTTTATTTTAAATAGCATTTAATTGAGGCTTGCTTACAGTTTCAGAAGTTTAGTCCGTTATCAGCATGGCAGGGAACATGGTGGCACACAGGGAGACATGGTGCTGGAGAAGTAGCTGATATTTCTGCATCCTGATCCACAGGCAGAATAAAGAAGACAGACTCTGGTGTTGGCATGGGTTTTGAAACCTTAAAGCTCATTCCCTTCTTCTAACAAGGCTTCCTAAACCTTCCAAATAGTGCCACTCCTCAGTGACTAAGCACTCAAATCTATAAGCTGATGGGCCCATTCACATCCAAACCACCACATTCCACTCCCTGGCCCACATAAACTTGTAGCCATATCACTCAATCCAACTTCAAATATTCCCATGGTCTATAATAGTTTCCAAGTCCAAAGTTTAAATCCTTTTCTGAAACTGATGACAATTAATTGTAACCCCCCTGTAAAATAAAAATTAAAAAGTAAATCACATAATTCTAACATACAATGTCACAGGATATACATTATCATTCTAAAAGAAAGCAAAGGGAATGTGGTGAGGAAATACTGGACCAAAGCAAGACCAAAAACCACCTGGGCAAACTCCAAACACTCCATCTCCTCTACCAATGCCATTAATCCATAACTCTTCAACTTAGCATCAGGCAAATTTTTGGGATAAGTGCATAAAGCAGCACATTCTTTGCCAAACTTAATCCAAAATACCAAAGTCCACATTCTACCAACAAGCAGCATGGTCAGGCTTATCACAGCAATAGTTCACTCCGGCTACCAACTTCTGTCTTAGTCAGTGTTATTTTGCTGTGAAGAGACACCATCACCAAGGCAACTTTTATATAAGAAAGAATTTCATTGAGGCTTACTTAACAGTTTCAAAGTTTAGCCAATTATCATTATGGTGAGGAGCATGACAGAGAGCAAGGTGGCATGCAGGCAACATGGTACTGAGAGGTAGCTGAGAGTTCTACATCCTGATCTGCAGGCAGTAGGAAGAGAAAGACTCTGGGGTCGGCATGAGCTTTAAACCTCACAGCGCATCCCCAGTGACACACTTCTTCCAGTAAGATCATCTCTCAAGTCATAGCCCTCCATGGTGACCAAGCATTCAAATCTATGAGCCTATGAGTGTAGTGATGAGGCGAATAGGTCTGCTTTTCGTCCTGCCCGGCTCCCGCACGGTTGGTTTGCCCCAGAAATAACAACACACAAATTGCATTCTTTTAAAACTGCTTGGCCCATTAGCTCTAGCCTCTTCTTGGCTAACTCCCACATCTTGATTAACCCATTTCTAATAATCTGTGTAGCACCACGAAATGGTGGCTTACCAAGAAAGATTCAGCATGTCTGACCTGGCGGCTGGCTCCATGGAGTCTGCCCTGGAGAGGAGAGGCATGGCATCTGCCTAACTTCCCTTCTTCCCAGCATTCTGTTCTGTTTACTCCGCCTACCTAATTTTCTGTCCTATCAAAGGGCCAAGGAAGTTTCTTTATTAACCAATGAAAGTAACAAATAGACAGATGACCCTTCTACATCAATTGCTATTCAAACTAAGCTTGATTCTTTAATTAAGTTTATTTATTGATTACTATTGTACACTTGTTAGGGGTCCACATGGCAACTTTATGGAGTTTTTAAATTAATTTTTTCTTATATGTATGAGTGTTTCGTTTGCATGTATATCTGTGCATCATGTATGTGCCTGATGCCCCAGGAAGCTAGAAGATGGTATCTGATCCCCTGGAAATGGACTTACAGATAGTTGTGAGTTACCATGTAGTGCTGTGAACTGAATCCATGTCCACTGAAAGAGTAGTAAGTGCTCTTAACGGCTGAGCCACCTCCATAGCCCCTCCTTCTACTTTGCACATAATTCCTAGCTACTGAAGGTAAGTTGCCTTGCTTGCCTGGCTTCACTCTGAAAGTCTATTTGTAGAAATGTCAATATTTTCAGAGAGTCTAATATATCTGAATTCCATTAGCCCTATCACCTTCTCAATAAGTGCAAAGATGGCCCTAATTTTCTCAATCATAAGAAGCATAGAAACAAAAATGGCAGGGAAGGATTTCAAAGGTTATTTCTGCCAATACAGAGTCCTCAAGGAGAGGGAATGTTGCTGACAGCGGAGGAGCAGGTAATTTGAAGCTTGAGAGGGAGCTCTAAAGTTTAGCACGCAGCCTGTGCCAGAATGCTCTGAGGAATCAGGAGAAAGGAAGTTTGTATGAGGGAGGCAGAAAAGTGGAAATGGTAAGAAGCAGCAAGCATTTTGTTCATTTGGCATTTGTTTCTGCTTCAGTTTGTAGTCATTAGAATATTCTGTAATGTCAAGATTCTAGACAGCTGAGTGTTCAGCCTTGTGCACAATGAGCAGAGCTTTCCCAGACAAAGGTACTTCTTGTTTTTCCCTGTTGCCCTTCCTCTCCCCCACATTTCATTTTCTCTTGCTGTTCTTAGGTTACTCTGAACTTCATTCCCGAGCATTCTGCCACTTAAAAATACCCCGCTGAGCCATACTGATAAGACACTCGTAGGTAGACTGGCTTTTCAGACCTACGGGAACACAGTGAACTCACTGAAATGGGCTCCAATCAAATTACAAGGAGCATTCCCTGGCGTTTCCTCCAGCATTATCAGTTATGATCTAGTCTAGAACATGAAGCAATCCTTTTTTTTTACTTTACTCCTGGGACAAAGCATGTGTCTATAAAAGACCCCCCACTGTCTGGTGGGGGTAGGGCGACTTCACAATGCACAGAAAAAAATAAAGCACTTTGAGTCTGGCAAAAGCCCCAGTCCATCATGGCTCCACAGATGTTAGTTTTAGTGAGGAGAAAAAACTCGGATGCATTTGGCAACGGAACAGCAATGGAAGGTCACTGTTTTGAATATATATTTTTCTGTGTGTTGGTTGTTAAATGCTCATATGCCTCCAGCCACTGCCCTGCCAGCCTTGTTTGTCAATCAGATCTGTGCTTCCTTTTCCTAACAGTTCACGTTCCAGTCTTTCCCTGGCCCTCCCTCTCTGTGCCTCTGCTATCTGAAGAGCTATTTGTCTAATGGAAGCTTTTTAGGGGAAAAGACAGTGACAGTGTTTTAGCAGATTCAGAATCAGTCTTGGACTTGAGCTGGTTAAGGATGTGTGACTGGGTCAGGAAAGTTTCTGGTGTGAAGTGGGGGGTGGGGGACAAAAGATTTGTGCTAATTCCAACTCTCCCTCAAAGTTGCTGGAAAACCTGGGACAAGATATTGCCCTTTGACGCTCAGGTTTCCTTGCCTGTGAAACAAGGAAGCACCCTGTTTGTTAAAACTCAGAAATGTTGTTTATAACAAAGAAAAGAGAGCAGAGCACAGTGGCACGGGCCTATAATACCAGTGTTTTAGAGGCAGAGCCAGGCAGATCACAAGAACTTTGAATACAATCTGGTCTACATAGTGAGTTCTAGGTCAGTCTGGAGTACAGAATGGGAACCTGTCTCGACCCTACTGTCCCACCAAAAAGAAAGGAGATTGAAAAGCTGACAGTATAGTTGTCCCCACAAATCATTTTTTTTTCTAAACCCTACAACTAATGCGGCATTTCTTTGAAATGTGAAGTCCTTGGGGCGATGAGTAAAGTGTTTCCTTTGCAAGCACGAAGACCTGAGCTGCCTATAACTCCTGTAAAAAGCCAGGCAGGGTAGTCTTCAGCTGTAATGCCAGCACTGGGAGGCTTAGACAGCTGTATCCTGGGAACTAAGTAGCCGGACAGTCTAGCCAATCAGTAAGCCCAAGTTCAGTGAGAGACCCTGTCTCAAATAAGTATATTGTGTGACTTACTGTGTCACACTTCAGATTCGAGGAGCGGATCTTTTTTCTTTTTTTTCCTTTCTTTTCTTTTAAATTTTATTTTATCTTGGGGGAAGGTTGCAAGGGCAGAGGGCAGATGGAAAAAGACAGGGGGGGGGGGATGAGTGGAATCAGGATGCATGCCGGGAAATCCGCAAAGAATCAATAAAAAGTTAAATTTCAAAAAAGATCGTAAATAAATAAATAAAGTGTGATAAAGACACCTGATGTCTGACCTCCACGAGTGCACACACGGGCACTACCCCCACAAATACACATACCATACATTCATATACACGCACTTTATTTTACAATAGACATAATGAAAATAAGATTCATTGTAAAATGAAACAATCAGAATTACCTAAAATTCCCTCAGTCAAAGTACAATTATCCTTAGAAATCTACAAGCATGCAAAGGGCACCATGCCCAGAGAATGTTTGAGCATTACAAGGTTACAGATGAAAGTTTGAATTGCCCATGTTCATTGCAGCATTGTTCACCAGAGCCAAGATACACAAACAAGCTGAGTGTCCCTTAAGAAACGCATGTATTTAATCATCATAGGCTACTATCCATTCTGCTTTACAAAAGAAGGAAATGCTTTAGTTTGGCACAAAGATGAATAGGCTGCAAGCCAGATGCTGAAAGACAAATAACTTATACTTATGTAT